ACTGATCTTGAACTTTCTGTTGTATTTGATGTATATGGTGCAAGTCTTGATTGACTGGCTTGTTAACATCAGTGTTTACCTAGAATTTTATGAGGGAATGTCATCTGTGAGTATTGTCACTGGGGCCATATCTACATTTTGGTCTATGGGCTTAAAAACAATATTTAGAATCTCATGATTGCCTATTTTTGCCTCTGGCTGGCCAGTGATCAAAACACTGAAAGTTTAAATCAAATGTGGGCTGTAACTTCATGTAATGTTTTATAAACTCTTTCATAAGGTAGGCACTGGTTGGTAGCAGCGCAGATGTTTGTTTTAACAAGTCTTCTCAAAGATTGTTTGAATGATAATTCATGTCTCACCAAGTTTCAGCCTGTCCCGGGGGAATTCCCATTTGCTAGCATCGTAGGTGAGCCTCTCACACTGCTCATCCATTGGCATATCCTCTGAGTCAAGGATCATGGAGAGGTAGCCGGTCTTCAGATCCACTCCATTTGGCTGAAACAGTGACGCAGTGGCAAATTTTAAAGACAAACAGAGATGTAACATGTAAATTAATGAGCTGCCATTTTTCTCAGTTATTCCCTTTCACCGCAATCAAAGTGTACAACAGTTTGCCAGTGACTCCCGTGGCCATTCAATAAAAGGGGCCTACTCAGTGTGGTGGGCCTACGTGACTTAGGGGAGCAGAGAGACTCCCTGTTGTTCCTGGATACAAAAGAGAGCAGCTACTGATGGCCAGAGCAGTCACTTCCACTCAGCCGTAAATGCCTTACAGAGCATGTCATTGTACTCGTCAGTTTTACCGTGTTTGTAATTTTTTTTAATGGACATCATCCGTGTGCGTAACTGGAGGGGAAATCCGAGGAAGGAAAAGTACAGGAAAAAGAGGATGAGGAAGTTCTTACTCTCTTTCTCCCGCGGATGACGAAGACGATCAGTAACCAGAAAAACATAGCGATGACCACTGACCCAATAGGAACAATCAGCTCCACATTAGTCTTCTCTTCTGCACCTTAGATATACACAAAGAATACTTTTAAAATAAGAATATAAAGGTACATGACATAAAATGTGTAATGGTATCACAGAACAGATTTTACTACATGCATGACAAATTTGAGGCCCGTGTTTGAGGAAAAAACAGTCGCAGTGGAATGTTGGTTATAATTTCAGTGAGGTGCCTTGGCAGCATTTCCTAAAGTTCAGACAGGTTTATCATTGTTTTTGGCCTGTTCACATGTGTATGTCTGTGTTTAGGTTGGAGAAAGGAGACTGTTGGAATCTGGACTGTAAGCAAACTGATATTTTATCTAGTCATAACAAATGGTCAGGAGTCAGAATGAATAACTACTGCCAAAGACAACTTGGAAAAGGTCTATCAGAGCCATTGTAGTGTGTCGCTGCGTGCTGTAATGGGCCCTTTCGTTCCACTGCTATTGAGCTTGAATTATTTGGGGGGCAGATGGGGTCAGAAAATGGGAAGGTTACACTGAAGGGTTGTTTGCAGGGATTTTTCTCATCCCTTTGTGAATATGACAGACATGATGGACAGTCAGATTTCTGATCACAAATTTTTCGTTAACAGCACACCCCCACAGACACCTGTGCTAGTTTCACTTACTCTCTGGCTATATTATTTGTTGGCCATTTACATCATTACGCTATATTTGTAATAGAAGCTCTCCATTTTTACTGGTTAGGTATTCCTTTTTTTAGTTAAAAGCTGGTCAAATGTGTGAGTATTACTTTTTTGTAATATGTAAAAATCAAAAATTTTTATTAAAGTGACGTGCAATTGCTTGCCTCCCCCCACCCTCATACACAGGGCTTTTGTTGTGAGAAGGTCTGTCCCTCTACCCCCTCTTTTAACAGAGCTGGCGCCTGAGCAGAATTGTGAGCTACTGTAACTGGGTGCACATTCTGCTGGCGGGGAGACGGTCACGTAGGCTCTGCGTCTAGTCAGTTCATTTGTTTGTTTTTCGCTGTGTCCCTGTGTTTGGTACAAAAAGACTGTGGACAAGAGAGCAGAGGCTGGAGCTCAGGCAGGGCTGGCCTTTCCCTTTGTCCTGCCGTCTCTTAATTGTTTTAGATTTAGATACTCCCAGGAGGATGTGCGTTAACTGGGGTAGCTTCCTGTCACGAGGAAGCAAGGCTATTTTTATTTAGATCTTTGACATATAAAAAGTAAAACTATGTGCGATGTGAATTTGTGAAACCTTGAAGCCAGATATAACCATACAGTCTTTTTAGTATTGGTGGAATTGCCAAAGGGTTTAGGCCAAAACCTTTCACACAGACAATAAGATATTCCTGATTTTAAGCTGAGAATGTATTACAAACAACACAAGACACCTGGGACAGGCCCAAGGGCCCAGAAGGTCAGGGAGACCCTGAGTCAATGACAATGACATGCAACATGCAGAGAAACTGCAAGAAATAACCACAAAGATTAAAAAAAACATCTGCAGATGGACAAAAAACAAGACAAAACACAACCCCAATGAGAGAAAAAAACACTTTAAAAAGCATCTGCAAGAAGCAGACATGAGTTACAATAAAAGACATTTAATGAAATGTATTACTTGTTATTTGGCATCATCTTAGTTAGTGACTGACCTTCAGTACTCAAAGAGGCCTGTGCTGTGTCACACCCAAGGCTGTTACACACAGTGCAGGTGTACAGACCACTGTCCTCCTTCGTCACACGCTGAATTGTCAGACTACGGTTCTGCTGATTCAGAGTAACACCTGAAAGGCAACCAGATGTTTTGTTTTGCAGCTCTTGTAACTCATGAAGTAAATCAGTTTTCAGTGAAACGCTGTGAATGTCTCACCTGAGCTCTCCACAACAGTGTGGTTGTTTTTGGTCCAGGCAACAATCGGGTTTGGCGTCCCAGCAGCCATACAGCGGAGAGTGACTGTCGAACTTACTCTAACCTTTTGGTCAGTGAAGTTATTAAGGATCCTTGGAGCCTCGAGGTCTAAACATCAAAATTATAAAGATTATTTTGAAACAAATGTATGATTCACTTAACAAACCCTGACCTATTCCTTACAAAAAGAAAATGCTGTGAGTACATCTCACCTCTGAGAGAAACACTGTGTAGCAGGCAGGTTTTCTCCCCAGTGATGATGTTTACCACCTGACAGGCGTACAGGCCCTCGTCCTGATGGGACGCATTGCGAAGTGACAGCTCCAGAGTCACATTGGTGCCAGGCTGGGGGGTCAGGACAGCATGCGACAGTGGAGTAGGCTGCAGAGTCAGTGAGCGACAAGGCTGCGCCAATGTTCCCTGCTCTGACTTGGAAACGTTGGTCACACGAAACCAGGTGAGGTTGCCGTAGATCAGCGAGTCTGCCTTACACCGCAGAATGACGTGATCCTCCTCCAAAGGCCTGTTAGAGGGAGACATAGTCACCTCGAGGCCACCTAGGGATGGAAACACATGGGTAAAGAATGAGTAAGGATATAAGAAAAAGAAGAATACTGAAAAGGCTGTTTATAATGATGACAGAAGTCACACCATCAGACACAAAACGATTACAACAAGATGCTTTTTAAGAGGAGAAAAAAAGGATGGAACTTACGTGTTACATGGAAAAAGATGACACGTGAATCCTTGCCTACTTTGTTCGCAGCCGTGCATCTGTAGAGGGCATGAGCCTCAGCTTTCTGAATCTTTAAAGAGCTCGTGATTTTCTAGAGAAATACATTTCATCTGTTAGTTACTATTATTTAGCTAAACTCCAAATACCGTATCGTTCAGATATCGTAAAATTCTTGGAGCAAAAGGGAAAATATGGTGTAATCACAGACTTTTTGTTACCTTTTGAGCTTGATCAGTGTCAGTTCTAATTGGTTGTACGTGGTTGTGACCAGTTCTGTTGCTGACATCTCTCCAATTTGTGCACTCCTTCAGCTGTGATTCAGACCTAACAAGTCTTGACCTGATGGACAAAAGTGAACAGAAGAATCATAAAACACAAATATCCAGCTCTGATCTTTTTTAAAATTTTTATTAAATGTAAAAACACCAGCTGTGTAAACAGCTGCACAGCGGTTTCCTCTTTCACTCTGATACACCGAATTAGCACTGACAAATGGTACACAAAAAGAAGATGAAAAGAAGCTGGCAGGTCTTTCAGAATGACGGCTAAGTACTTGTTTTTCCACTTTTTTTCTATTTACCAATCCTACTAGTTTAATTTTTATTCTCATTTTTAACTGCTAATACACCCAAATACAGCGAGAAACACCATAAAATTTAGTAAACAGGGAAAGAAAGTAAGTAAGTAATAAGAAGAGGTTTAGCTTTAGCAGGAAGAACCTCTTTTTTGAAAAAGAACATGACAGGAACAACAGGAAACGTAGTGCAGGACAGAGGAAGTGCTCAGATGTGTAGAAAGATGATAAGGAATCTGCTGCTGGTGTTGTCTGGTCCCTCACACACACACACACACACCATCCTGCTTTCTATCAACACTGTGAAATCACAACAGGAGTCTTTCGTGAGGTTGTTGTGTAACCGGCTGAATATTGCATCGGCAGGGCTGTTATCTTAAACAGCTGATCGAGTGAGCACAAACACTAGGTCAGTACAAGTCGTCCAAAATTAGTGAGCACATTCTAAGTCTGAATAACTGACATGGTTCTAAAAATGGACATTATGAAGAGAATGAATCACATCCGCTGATTTGCATCAGGTCACAGTGTGCTCTCATTGTCTCCCCTCTTGTTTTGGTCAACATCACGAAAGCAGCTATTCCTCTTCTATATCAACAACCTGTTGACAATGAGTGACTCAAAGTCATGTGACTACTCCATGCATACACAAAAAAAGTCCCGAACCGAATGTATCTTTCTGCCCTGAACCTGTCTAACTGTGCCACATGTGAAAAAGTCCCAACTTTAACATTTATGTGTGAAAATAGCCTCTTTGTTTCTCTTTTACACTCACACTGAAGAGTTGACTTGCATGAAAGCCTCTGGGCAGTCCTCTTTGGACATCCACTCCCACTGGATGTGTGTAGGTATGGGAAATCCACGAGCGGTGCAGCTCAGAGTCGTGCTGCTGCCGTACAGGTACACATCAATGTCCACTGCCATCTCCTTCTCTATGATACAAGGAGGAACTGCAAAGGAAGAAGTAGAGTCATATCCACAACAGGCAGCCGAAAATGAATGTAAAAGGAAAAGAAGAGGAAAAAAACACACCATTGACCAGCAGCTGGAAAGAGCGCCTCTGTTCCTCTTTTGTAATTTTATTGGTCAGGATAACTGTGTAAATGCCAGCGTCTGTTTCTTTAACTTCACGTATGACGAGGGCATCACTCTTCTGTTTTATTCGGTAGTCATTCAATGGGAGGTCATTTTTAAACCTGGGAACACAAAGTAAGATTAAAGTTACAAAATCCATCCAGTTCTGAAACTGTAGCTTTAATGCATGGAAACTGCTATGCATTAAGCAAATATTGCTGTGAACACACCATTTAATGATGGGTTCAGGGTAAGCTGAGTACTTCACGGGGATGTATGTGGATGGTTCTCCCACATTTACCTCCCACACCTTTGTCCAGGGCTCTTCCATATCAATAAAAGGTTTTTCTGGAAATACAAAAATCACAAAAATAGAGAAAAGATCAATTTTTTAATGACTTTCTTACAATTATTATTTTGGCTTCAAATGAAGCAAAAAACCCAAAACTATCTGAGACCATACAAAATGATTCATTTGATTCTATGATTTTGCAATTGTTTCTAGGAAAATCTATCTCAAACTTCACGTGTAATTTTCTCCTGATGCTGAACAAATGTAATTTTAGGAAAGGGAAGTTAGAGATTTTCAATTTAGACAATTTCCAAATCCTTGAAAGTGGTATTAAAATTTATTAGATGGCTTAAAAGCATAACTGATTGCAATAATAGGAATAAGAACAAGAACAAGTATTATTATTACTAATAATAATATTACAATTCAACTGCATCGGTGTGATAATTAAAATTAATTGTCCTGTATCACTGTCATCAAGATAAATGCACAAATAATAAACAGCATGTTGTGAGAGATTAAATTTGTGCAAAAAAGATGAGAAAATGAAAGGAAAAGTATTTTTTTTAAAAATCTGAGAAAATAACACAAACAAGTTTATAAAGATGAAAAATATTATTAATGTTAAAAAAAATATTAGCAGAAATTCAGGGGTTTCAAAGAGGGCTGAATTAGGGTTTTAATTATTAGGATCTGTTTGATGTCAGTGAGGAGAGACATCTCAGACACATCTCTCCAAGCACAAAGCCCAACCCACCTGCTGCTCAAACATTGTGTTTGCAAAGGGCAGTCAAAAGATACAGGAGCTAAAACAACTTGTCTATAAGGAATACTTTGAACTGTAAATCAGGCAAAGCCACTCTAACAGAGACAAAGATTAAAGATGTGGCATCTGCCTTAGCTAACAATTTAGGTTCCCAATCCAAAGTACTACAGTCAACACCATCTCAGTAACATCTGTAGTTCCTCAGGAAACCAATGATGTTAAATTCCCATGAATAACTTAATGTTAAGTTTTACCAAGTAGGAACAGAAAGCATCCTAACTGGAAACATCACAAACTAGTAAAGGCTGAACTTGGCTCAACCAGAAGGCTCTGCAGCAACAATATAGAAGCATCTTTGATATTGCTTAAGTGTTATGTCAGCATACAGCATACTGTAGGATATTTTTTTTCTAATGCATAAAACGCCAGTAATCAAATAACATAAACTAAATAATTTGTTTCATTTAAAACCTACTCTGAATAACACAGTACAATCTTCAGCTGTCTTCAAGCTTAACAACTACATACATATTTTTTGTGAATGTTGAATTATTGTTTGACTTGGAACTTTTTGAAAGTTTTCAGCCAACATAACAGGTGTTTTGTTTTCAGAGCACCCACCATAAACTGTAAGAAATGCTGAAGCGCTTTTCTCCATCTGTCCACTCGAAGCAGAGCAGATGAATTCTCCTCCGTGAGCTACCGTCACATTCTCCACGATCAGCGTGTTTGACAGCTCCAGAGAGTTCCACAGCTTCTTCTTGTGGGGAATTGTGTGGGGCGGCCTTGAACCATTGACCGAAGTCTGACAGAGGGAAGACATAATGTATAAACACACAGTTTTTAAACTCACGTGACACTCATAATGGCTGTGATAACAGAATGTGGGAGGTTTTTTTTTCTAGTTTTACAGAAATTAAAGATCAAGTGTTGCCTCAGTCCAGACAGCTTATTGTTCCCAGTAATGTAAGCAGTCAGAACATCAAAAACACATCTGGTCACCTTTGCACTTTGGTGGTACAAGATGAAGGCTGATGGATTCCTGAAAGCAGGAAGTAATGAATTTGTGCAAAGACAGCAGGAAGAGAGATACAGCACTTCTGGTATCTCAGTCTCTTCTCATCAGTAAGTCAAAGAGGCCAACCTAAAGGTGGACTGTTTCGCTTTTCCTTATTTTCTGTCATGTTTATACTGTTACAATGGAGAATGCTCAAATTTTATGTTCCAAATAAGCTCCAAATAATGAGATCAGTGTATATACAAAAACAATTCTTGTGAGACAAAAGTTCAGGCTTAAGACTGCTATAAATAATCAATTTCAGACCATTTTTGTACTCTTTAGATCTTTACGATGCCTCTGAGAGTAGATATCCTCTAATAATTTTGATACTTGCATCTTAGGCCCAAAATAAGTTCAAGTTTTTTGTTTCTCAGGGGGATCCAAAACTATGAAAGTTGTCTGACGTGTCTATTTTTTCAGACAATGGATAAACTGAGGAGCTTCACCGGTGCTCATAATTATTTTTCTGTAGTTTGTATTTGTAAATAATCCACAGCTAGTACTTTCTTGGCATGAGCAATATAACTTTTCTTTAAGACTGTTACATAAGTTCATTACAGGTTTACAACGATAATGAGAACAGAAGAGTGTGGGGTACTGACCAGAGCCCCACCAGAGTGCGTCCAGTTGAATTCGATGCCCACATTCAGCTCTGTGAATGCAGTGCATCTCAGTATGAGCTGCTCCCCCACAGACAGCCTTACATTGTTGGGGGTCAGGGTGAGGTCATAAATCTTGTATCCTGCGGAAAAAGGAGGGAAGATAGTAAATCGACACACTATTGTTCTCCTGAGACTACAAACTCTCTCTGCACCAACACTCTGAGCAACAGAGTGTTGGTGCAGAGAGTCTTTCACCTTACAAAGTCAAAATTAGAATTCCCAGTAAGTTTCGGTGTTATTCAGCTCGAAAAAGTCACATATAGGTGTTTTTACAGCCATAGCATTGACAACTGATAACTTCTCTTTGTATCTTTTTCCATCTTACCAACAACAGCCACAATGTAGAGCGGGGACTTAAATGTCTCGTTTCCAATATGAGTTTGGCAGGACACAACACCAGCGTAGCTGATCAGATGAGTGGGAACAGTGAAGCCCGTCCTGGCATCCCACACAGAATCCTTCCCATCCGGATGAAACTCCTTTACTGGATACTTCTGACAAACACACAAATTTCATGATTCCAAACAGAAATGTTTAAAGAATTTCACACCAATTGCTTTACACATGAGCACAGCGTGTAAATAAAACACCACATCTGGTAAACACAACTGTTTACCAACCTACATCTTCATAAAACTGCTTTACTGACAAGAAGCAAAGACCAGAAACAGCTTCTTACGATGTTTAGTGTGACATTGAGATTCTCCACCGAGCCCCGGCATGGTATTACCACTCGCTCCCCTTCACGGATAAACACCACCTCATATTCCTTTTCAGATGGCACAAATGGCACCTTATAATCTAAAAATTAACAAACAAATCACAATAGTAGATGTATTTCAGTGTGTGAAGTTGATAAATCCCATATTTTCCTTCATATAAATGGATGCTTGAAAAAAAAAATACAACAACAACAACAAAAAAACAAGAATAAACTTAAAAAGAGTTATACCTTGAACAAACACATAAACTGCTGCTGAGGTTTTACCATCTTCAGCTTTCAGGCCTATGTAGAAACACTGATACTGTCCAGTTTCATTGACAGTTGAATTGGTGATTGTGAGCCTTTTGCAGAACAGTCCTGATCCGCTGCAGTCACTGATAGAGTAACGAGTGCTTATAGCAGGTGTGGTCCACCTCAAATTCTGCCGACCTCTGCAGGAGAAGAAAGAGAATTATACTGCACATGCTACATGACCGAGTCGGTGAATTTAGCCAGTGATGGGGAGCAGTAAACAACATTTCTCTAATCTAGTAGTTTATCTGCATTTTGAGGTAGTTTGCCATTTAGCAAATTTTTTATTTACATTTTGACTCAAGTAGTCAACTACTAACACTACTAGGTAGGTATAACTCTTGCGGCCAACCGTGGTTCAGGGGATTGGGAATCGCATCTGTAACCGGAAGGTCGCCGGTTCGATCCCCGGCCTCTCTGTCCTGGTCGTTGTGTCCCTGGGCAAGACACTTTACCCTACTTGCCTACTGGTGTTGGCCAGAGGGGCCGATGGCGCGATATGGCAGCCTCGCTTCTGTCAGTCTGCCCCAGGGCAGCTGTGGCTGTAGCTTGCCTCCACCAGTGTATGAATGTGAGAGTGAATGAATAGTGGTATTGTAAAGCAAAAGAAAGTACAGTATTTTATAGTAATTACTATTATTGTTCCAGTGTTGTAATATCTGCCTATAAAAAGTTCCATTTTATTTTCTTCATGATTTTTTACTAAGGGGAGAGATCAAGTGAGCAGACTGTAATTTTCCTAAATATAGCTGCATGGTTGTTTTTGCAACTAATGTAGCTGCCCCCTGCTGACCATCAGAGAGAATGCAAGTTTAAGGCGCATTCACATTACATTCATATTTGAGAATCTACAACTGTGTCCGTTTTATATCCACAGTCTATGATTAAAAGTAAAGTGGAACTTAAAGGGCTATACTGAGGATTGCGGAGAAAGTTTGCTCTACAATTAAGAGTGAAACGGAGCTGTTCATGTAGGCATGAAGCTAATAAACTTTGAGTCATACTTACTTTTACTGAAACACAGGAAGGAGAGATGACGTCATAAACAACTCTGAAACTATACACTTACTTTCAGAGCTATGACAATAGAAAAAGCTGAATGTTTACACTGGAAGAACGCTAGTTACTGCATTAGCAAAATTAGTCAACTATACGGTAATAACCTATTACACTTTGTTTAGTGACGGTACTATCCTTGTGCGATCAATACTGTGTTTAGTCCACATTTTGCTATATATAGACAGTTGCTGAGGTTTCTATTGGCGAAAAGTGTAGTTATAGTTCTGGGAAGATCACACTATATAGCATAGGCTATGGTCAAAGGTTTATATACACTCAAAATAGGCAAGAATGCCATGGTATTTGGGGGGTTTTAATGAACTCTTGAAACTGTATACCTTTAATGACTTTAAAAACAAGATTGGGTACAAAAGTTTGAGTTTACTTGGGATTTTTATAATCCACACAGGGTCTAAGTTATACATAGAGGCTCATATATATTCATACATTTCCACTAATATTTGGGGAAATGTCCCTTAGCAAGTTGCACCTGGACCAAATGTTTTTGGTATCCATCAACAAGCTTCTGGCATAATTCTGGGTTAATATTTGACCACTCTTCCTGGCAGAATTGGTAAATTTTATTTAACCTGGTTGGTTTCCTTGCACAGATCTGGCTTTTAAGAATAGTTCATAAATCTTTAATAGGGCTGAGGTCGGGGCTTTGGGAGGGCCATTCTAGAAGATTAATGTTAGCCTACTTTACCCGTTCCAAGAATCATTGTCCACTATTAGTGATGCTGAACAATTTAGAGATAGTGTTTCATCAATATTCCATTCCATTTTGTACAATGTAAGAGTACCACTGGCAGCAAAACCCCCTCAGAGCATGATGCTACCACCAACTTGCTTGACAGATGGTACAGCGCCCTTAGATTTGAAAGTCTCATATTTACTGTTCCAACAATACTTCTTGTCATTGTGGCCAAATTACTCAATCTTTCTCTTGTCTGACCATAAAAGTTTTCTCCAAAAGGCTTCTTGCTTGTTCATGTGGGCAGCTGCAAATTTCAGTCAAGCTTGAAGGTATTGATTTAAGAGCAGGGGCTTCTTTCTTGATCAGCACCCGACCACCAGGCTGATGTACAGCTCACTTCATTGGAGACAATGACACTGTTGTTCCAGCAGTTCCCATTTTATGGCAGGTTTGAGCCTTAGTGGTTTCCCTGGGTTGTTCTTGAAAATCCTAACCAATTTCCTCTCAAAGTGGTGACACATCCTAATAACTTGTGTTTATGTACAGTTGTAGGAACTGATGATCTTGAAAACTGCAGATTTTTAAAAATGACTCCAAGATACCTTCCAAACTTGTGTAAATCTACACTTCTCCATCTTAAATCCTAAGTTCCTTGGGCTTTCCCACTGGTCTGAGTATTGGTCAGTCCAATGAGTGTTGTCAAATAAATCTCTTTTATGCGAGCCTAGCGAAACTACCAGTTGTAGTCAATCATGATTACAAGTTAATAGGCCTTGGACATGTAAAGTTAAAAGACATTGTAGAACCTTCAGCACCTCTTATTAAAGGATTTAACTCAATGTATATATTTTAGCATCCATGTTCTTACTTTTGACTGTGGATTAAAGAAAAGACTAAATAAAGTGGAAAAATTGTGCACCTTATCCTTGTTTTGTTTTAATCATTAAAAACGAATGCTGTGTAATCATTAATAGCCATCAATAGCATGACCTTCATCTCCAGGATGAATGTAAACTCCTGGACACATCTGTATATGTCTAATCCTTACTTTACCTTAATTGTAATAATAAGCCTAAAACCAGGTCTTCGTTTTCAAGCCTGCCAGTGAACAGCTGCCAAAAACTACCAACACCAAAAACATCTAACTTTTACAAAATGTTATCAAATGGCCATGTTTTTACTTAAATGTTATTCATTTATTGACTTGGTCTTCCTGTAAAAAACAATTACGCCAGTCAGATGTTCATGTTGTTTATATAAGGAGTTCTTGAGAACACATACTGCGCAGGCACCTTTTGAACAGAGACAATGACACGCACACGTTTGTTGCATGTGATGGGGGCATGAATAAGTTCTAGGGTAGTTTTGCTGTTTGGCAAATCTTTTGGTGTGAAGTAAAAAGTTTGTAAAACCAGTTTCCCCAACACTAGCGTCTGTAAGGTGTATGCATAGCCTTACATACCTGCATGTTAGTTCAAGGTTGTCAGATTTGTTCATCCTATGGATGCCATAGATATTTAGTGTCGGTGGATCAGATATAAACCGCAGTTCCGCTGCTGGAGAGATTAACAGTACAAATCGGTCACAGCAATGACTTACTTTTAACACAATCAGGGTGATGACATAAGTCTCTACAAACAATGATTAAATGAAGGTTTCAGAGATCATGGCCCTGCTGTTTTAAATAAATGCACTTAAGATTAAGATTAAATCAAACGGCACAAGGTAAAAACTGAAAGTAGAGCACAGGAAAAAAATAGTTTCCATTATAAGATGTGCTTTGTATCTGAGTCTCTGGCTACATAGGGCCCTTTTTCCATTGCTGCAGCAAATGGCGGAGCTGTGTGAAAACAGGAAGCAGGAGAAGATGGGCCGGGTCAGGCTCAATAGTCTAGCACAGTGTGCCTTAGGTGGGGTTCCTGTTTCTGAGGATACAGCCTGCCCACCACCTCCCTGTGAGGCCCTAAAGGACATAATACATTGTATGGAAAAAAAAAAAAAGCTAAGTGTTGAGCTGAGCTGATGAAGTGGGCCTTTATGATCTCAGAAGAAAAAAATAGTTTAAACTGTTGAACAACATAGCACATTAGCAGAAACTGGGTACTTTTGTCATTTACATTTTACTACATAAGAACAAGTAATCAGGCCACAGTTCAAACGCTTATCCTTAAATGTTTCCTCAAACTGGACTGCAGTTCTAAAGTGATATCAGCAAAGACAAAAACTATAGAACAACTGAGGACAAAGTGTTTGAAATGTCTTAGAAAAGCGGCAAAAGCTTTTATAGAGCTGGAGGGTGACTTTGAGTTGACAGATTTGTTTTTTAAAAAAAGAAAAGATCAGACAGAGATCATAATCTAATATATTTCATGTTTCTCAGCTTAATCCGTTATTAAGATAGACGATTAAATGGGGATAATATTATTATCTTACCAGCAAAACAAGTGATTTCCAGAATAATGCCCAGTAGTGGAATGATGGACAGTGTCTGTGCCATCATCCGACAGAAGACAAGGACAAAGTCCTCATCAAAGTCCAATTAATAACGTTACCGTAGAAATAATGATAATCCTACTGCCTCATTACCAATCCATTAAAAAAAAAAAAAAGCTGTTTCATATTCCACCCCAGAGAAAGTTTGAAAGTCATAAAAACAGCCTGCAGTGGATGGTGATCAGCAGTGGCTAAAGTGTGACTGTGCGTGTCCCCATGGAGCTTTTGCGGTTGAGGATGGAGAGACGCGCCTCGGCTGAGCAGCGTGCCTGCAGGGGAGGAGTCTCTCTCTCTGACTCTCTGTAAAATTACCAAGGCGAATGCAGCCTGCAATAAACTTCTGGGCTTATTGCCCAGTTGATGGGAGGACTTACTGAACTTTGAGAGAAACTTGGGAGACTTAAGAACTAGTGACAGCCAGGATGCATAACCCCCTACTGAGGAGTCGTAAAACTGTTTACACCATAACTTTGACTCCTTGAGTGATAATCATAAAAATTATACATTTATTAAAAGGAAAATCCCATTACCAAAAGCATTAAGAAAACGTGTGTTTATAAGTTAGGGTTAAGGACCTGTTTTCCCTCCTGCATAAAAGTAGAAAGAAGCCCAAGAGTTGCTTATTCTCTTGTCCATGTGACCTAAAGCAACATTAGCATTCAGGTCTCACCAATATGAAACCAACACCAAGATCCATTTTTGCCTTGATTGCCATCTGCTGAAGGAAATGTGCTTTCGGATCCTTTTCGCAAGAGTTTTAAATAAATGCCAAGTGCTGTCAAAATAGAAACCGATGAGAACGAAAAAAAACAGTAGGCCGTAGGTCACAGAACCAGAGTCATGAGGCCTAATAATAACTAAATCCTTGTTTCCTTGTAGATTCACTATTGCTACAACCAACTTTAAAAAAGCAGGTTACTATGGTTGAATGAGAATAGCTTTATTTTTTTACGCTTCTTCTAGAACACACAGTTACAACGCCACATGAAAGTTCATGTTGATCATACTTTATTCCAGCGCCGTAAAGAGGCGTATATCTCCCAGCGAACAGACCCTACGCACTTCCATACAATCACAGTGCTCCTCACGTGTATCCTGCTGGAGTTGCTTTGCGTGATTCTCAATCAACAAAACAAACCGGCTACTTATGCTTAACAGCCACTTTGTTAAGGAAAACTTTTAAATTGTTCCTTAACGCAAATCTTCAATCAGCCAAACACGTGACAGAAACTTACTGCATGTAGTTTTGGTGCATAACCGGAAAGTTGATTCTTTTCATCTGGGTGCAGCGTTTTCAGTGGGAGGATTGTAAATACAAGAAATAGTGGAAAGCACAATACGTTTAATTAATAAATGCGCTGAAATCGCTATATTACAGACGCAGTTAAAAATGTATTCTTCGACGAGTAAAAACATATTTAAACATGTCGTTTGTGTGTGCTGCAGCTTGTGAACTTAAAACAAAGACAATGGATATCAAGGATGTTGGTTAAATATGATTTTAATGTAATTGTGTAGATGCCTTCAGAGGGCAACATTTCTTTCAGTTAACACTTAAACATTTTTAACTCTTTTCAACACAATTTTCAGTTTTTTCACCACTTTTCAGCACAAATACCAGCTTTTTCAGCTGTTTTCAGCAAAAACCTATTTTCAGCAGAAATTCTGCTGATTGAACTCTTTTCAGCAAAATTTTCAGTCTTTTCTGCTGTTTTCAGAAAACTCTTTTCAGCAGAAATTCTGCTGATTGAACTCTTTTCAGCAGAATTTTCACCTCTTTTGCCCAAATTCTGCTTATCACCTCTTCTGAAAATTTAGCCTTTTCACCTCTTATTAGCACAAATCTCAGCTGTTTTCAGAAAAAACTCTTTCAGCAGAAATTCTTCTGATTCACCTCTTTTCTGCCAAATGTTTAGCCTTTTCACCTCTTATCAGCACAATTCTAAGCAGCTTCTGCTAATTTCACCAGAATTGTCAGTCTCTCCACCTCTTCTTTGTGAGAATGAGTTTGGTGCAGTGAGGTGAGTCGGCCGTTAGATCAGAAGGGCCAGGTTCGAATCCTGCTCAGGGCAATGTTTTTTGTTTTTTCAGCTTTTTTCAGCCGACATCTTCAGCGTTAAGGCATCCACACAGCATTTTCGCAGGAAATGCAAATTTTTCTAGTTTCTATATGAAGGCCCCCTCTTTACAAATACAGTATGGTGTTGTCTAACTGTGTAACAAAAGACTGCATTGATCGTGGCTCAAGAGTTGGGAATTCGCCTTGTAACCGGAAGGTTGCCGGTTCAAGCAACAGTCTTGGTCGTTGTGTCCTTGGGCAAGTAAAGCACTAAATAAATACAGGCCATTTACCATTTTACCATATCATGAATTTGAAGATGCATTAAAAAAAATATTGATATTTTATAATCAAATAAAACAATATTAAGATATTCATAGAACAATTAATTAACTGGTTAATTAATTAATGTAATTCTGTAATTAATGTCACCTTAATAACCTGCAAATTTACAGGATCTCTTGATTACTGAATACAGACATTAAGTAATGTAACAACTGTGTTACAATTCGGCATTTTAGTCATCATGATTATTCACAAAAAAAAGAAAAATTTATTTAGGCTTTTTCATGTAAGTTTACAGTTCCTGGAACAGGCTGAAAATGGAGCATTAATGGTGAAATGCAGTATGACTGACTAAACCTAACTAATGACTAATGTCCCTCCAATGCTGATCGGGTAGCTTCTTAATAATTGGAAATAAATTACAGCTGTAAAATAATCAAAGTATTAAGCTTTAGTGACACAGACTGGGCCTTTTTACAGGGTCAAATATATCAGTGGATCGGGTTCCATTACCTACCCAAAGATATCTGTTAAGGTTTGGAAAAAGAAACAGATAATCTGGGACAGTGCCAAAAACATGTCAGGAAAGCAGGGCGCAGCTTATACCAAACCCAACTGACATTTACATTAGGACTGCTGCCTTGAAAAGAGGAAAGGGATAAAGGTAATACCTGGAACTGATTAACATCAGATTGTGTCCCATTTTTGTATTTTTCCAGAACTTCAAACGTGTGATGAATGTAGTGCTTCATTTGATGAGGAGGGAGGAGGCTGTGTTTTGATGCTGGCATGGATTCAGGAGGGTTGAGGGAGATGATTGAGGGCTGTGTGTTATGCACTGCATCCACATGTTTCCTGGCCTGGTCACTTCTACTGGGACTCTCTGAATACTAAACTGCCTAGCTGCCTCGTAACCATCATTTCCTGGAGGACAGTCTACACTGAATTCCTTTCTGGAAAAGCTGGAATCAGAAACATTTTTCCATTTTTCTATCTCTGTTTATTTTTCTAAATCCAAAGAGAGGTGATTGCTTTGAACTCTGGCCCACTCACAGACAAAGAGAAATGTTTTCATAGTTTAAAGCATTTCAGCAAAGGAGAGGAAAGAATGAGGTGTGTGTGGTTGTGTGAAAGAAAATATTTTACTGTATTTTGCAATTTTCCTGAAAAATTACAATATAATAATAATAATTAGTAGTAGTAGTAGTAGTAGTAGTAGTAGTGACTGCTAATTTGTCCACCATTAAACTGTTGTACTAAAATCTACAAAAGAGATATATGGATAAAATGTGAGCTTAATGGTATAAGACTTTCAGCTGTTGTAAGCTGTGACTTAATTAGGCACAGCTGTCCAACCGTTCGTTCAAGTGAATATCTAATCAATCACATGGAAGCAGCCCATTGTACTCAGACATTTAAACATGTTCAAGACAGCCTACTGAAGTTCAAACTGAGCATCAGAATGTGACAGAAAGCTGATTTAAGTGACTTTGGTTGTTTGTGAATAAGAGAGGCTGGTCTGTGTATTTCAGTATGCAGAAGAGCATATCTTTATGCACAATATGTTGAATTTTGAATCAGATGGACCACAACAGCAGAAGACCACAATGTGTGGCAGTCCTGTCAGCTAGGACAGGAAACGGGAAACTGAAGGGCTAACAAGGGCTCAAAATCAGACAACAAGAGATTTGAAAAATGTTGCCTGGTTGATTTCTGCTGCCATATTTTGACGGTAGGGTCAGAATTTGATCTAAATGCATTTATGATTCAGGCTGGTTGGAGTGATGTAATGGCATGGGGGATATTTTCATGAAACACTCTGAGCTCCTTAGCACTTACTGAACATCATTTAAGCACCATAACCTTCCTGAGAATTGTTGCTGAACATGTCTGTTATGACCCGGTTTTGCTAGGGGACAGGGAAGATAGCATAAACGAGACCCTCACGAGGGAGATCAGTTAAGACCAAGTTTCATTTACAGAAAGAAACTCAGAACTGAAAACCGATAGCGACATTTACTACAAATTACTTGGCAAATAACCAATACAAAAATAACTTGCTCACGTACAAGTGGAAATTAAAGCTAGCCTCATGGGCTGCAACACGAATAAATGCTATTCAAACAAATTCCACACCTTAAACAGGGTTTCACAAGCTAGGCTCACAACAGAAGCATGTGGGGCAAACTGCACATTCAGTTCAAAGCAGCAGCCCCTGAATGAAAGTTCTTCAGCCCTTTTGAAGGCACAGGTGTGCACAATTGGTTGCAGATTGGTCTCTCTCCCTGGAGGTGCAAACCACAGGTCCTCAGGCAGGCAATTGTCTGAGTGGATTGTCAAATTCAAATTTACATGCAGGAAGGCTGACACGGGTTCCCAGACAGCCAATCGTCTGTGGGTGTTGTCACGGTTGAATTTGCTTGAAGGAAGGCTGGTTCACTTCTTCCAAGGCCAGGGGCCATAACAATGTCCATTGCCTTATGATCACAGTGAACTATCTTAAGATAAGATATGATAACCTTTATTAGTCCCACACGTGAGAATTTTGTTGATGGCTCTTGATGGCTGCTTCCAGCACAATCTCACAAAAGTCAGATGAAATCAAACTGGTTTCGTAAACGTGACAATGACAGTGTACTGAAACTGCCTCAACAGTCACCAGATCTAACTCCAGTAGCTCTTTGATATGTGTTGAACCAGGAGATTGCCAACATCAATTGGCAGCTGCAATAACTATGTGATGCTATCATGTCAGTATGGACCCAAATCTCTAAGGAATGTTTCTAGCACTTTGTTGAATCTATCCCAAAAAAAAGGGAGTGCTGAAGGTAAAAGGAGGACCACCTAGTAAGGTTTAATGAATCTATACTTTGAACCTGTATCCTGTGTTCAGGTTTTTGTCTTTCCTGGACAAAATATTACAAAACCTCATATCACAGGT